AGATTTTATACTGTCTCTGTGGACGAACTCTACCTCCTGACCTAAACACATCTTCATCTACAAACAACGATTTCGTCAAAACGGACATTTTATATTTTTTGAACGAAATTGAAATTGTCATTTTCATGCTGATTTTGCTGATTTTTCACGTTTCGAGTACACTATTTTGTGTAGGTACCCCGCATTTGTTTATTGTTTGTCCTCATGTTGGCCACAAGTTTTACATTGCTTTGTCACACATTTTGGGGGGTGTTATAGTTTCATTCGCATTATGTGAAGCTATAGGGGTCTTCATGATGGGTTTTATTGTACTTTTGTGTCATATCGATTAGCATTTACTATGTTTCACAATATTATATCATGTATTTTTTATTTTTTTGTTGACAAATGCATTAAGCCAAGATAAACATATTGAATATCATACTCATAAACACATATGGCAGATTAAGTCAATGACAAAAAACTCCATGGACATCTATAAAAGTTTGAGACATTTCGTGTCATCCAAAAATTACAAAAAACGTTATGTGAATCTTTTCGAAATCCATATAAAAGAAAATTGACTTCTTTAGATAAATACAAAGAAACATTGATGCGGAGTCTGGCTCATGCGACATATGATACATTTGCGTGAAAATATATGTACATAGAGAGACTCCATGTCTCTCTCTCTCTCTTTCTCTCTCTCTCTCTATCTATCTCTATCTATCTATCTATCTATCTATCTATATATCTATCTATCTATCTATCTATCTATCTATCTATCTATCTCTATCTTTGACTAAGACAATGTCTATGAAAGTTGGTGCCCTAGACTTCATACACTCCTGTACACTACGAATATGTGCAGTCGTACATGATCGTACAAAAGGTGGAAATCCGCTACGACATCATTTAAAAAAAAAACTAAAATCCGGCACATGACTAAAAAAAAACTAAAATCCGGCACATGACTTCATACACTCCTCTACACTAGTACGACTATGAGCACTCGTACGAGCGCAAAATCTACTCTGTTGCTATCTCCGCGTACATGACATTGTGCTAAGGTACAAATTTTTCACAACAAAATATCCGGAAGTGCTACAGCGGCGCAAGTGAACAAGGTCGTTGCTCAGACCCTTGGCTCGACGGAGTACACTCTTTGTAATGTTGAAGTTGGTGGTTAACTTGATCTTTTTGAATTTGTGGTTGACCCCCGTTGTTTCTTCGTTCTCTACGATGACTGTTGAGATAGAAGCAGTGATGGCAGTCCTCCGAGCAACGAATTCCAACATTGCATTTCGTGTGTGAATACAATATTGTTTAACGTGCTGCTTGTACGCTCGCACCATCGAGTCTCAGACATCACTCCGCGGAATCTTTTGTCTTCATGTCTTCGTTGCACATATTGTAAGCCCTTCGTGATATTGTACAGCAACGCATGCAATGGTAGCGCTGCATTTCTCTGTCACCGGGCCAGCCACGAGGCCGTAACCGTAGAAGACCTCCTTGTATCTTGCGTTCCCGTCCTTCTTGTAATTATTATTATTATGACAGTCGCACACCCCCATGAGGTTGTAAATCTTTCTTCTCGCACTTAGAGGATACAAGTGCAGTGACGGTTCGTAATATGCAAAATCTCACGTGACAAGTCCAATGGCGTTACGCTGTCTCCTCAGCCGGTCTGATATCAGTTCCCCCCATATGATTAGCGTTCCCCACCAATCTTGTCTTAACTGCCTCTGCATTCTTTTAGGGTCCATACTGCACGGACCAATAAGAAAAAGATAAAGGAAAAAAAATAAATTGAACACAGACATCAAAAGCACAGATGAACGTCGGTCAATGTGGATAAGTACGCAAGACGGATTGCAGGTTGTTCCGTTTGCCACTTTCGCGTCGATGAATATGATCGGCGATATTGAACTTCGTGACGATGTTAGTTTTTTTAAGTTTTTTCATTTTACCCTCTTCGTTGCGGCATGTTATCACCGTCGTCGCCACGTGAATGACGATCCTCGACCTTTCGTTGATGACACGCAACATTGCATCTTTGATTTCGTTGAATAAACGTCTGACAAGCTTCAAGGTCGCCCTCCTGTAGTTGCTGTTTTCGAACGTTGACGGCACCTTCGTTCGTTCAATCCGTGTTGCGCACCGTGTTAGGCCACCGTCTGAACAGAACTCCATACACGTTACCGATCCATGATGCTCAGACCCCGGCCCCACATGTGAACAAACCCCAATTCGTAGAACATTTCGGTCCATTTGCCGGAGTCGTGGCTTCCGAAGTTCGCATCCGGCATTATCGTCTTGGCGAGCTTGTAAACTCCGTCTCGCATCTCGTCGTACCACAGCTGAATCGAGGGTCAAGATGCGCACCAGTCGGTGCACTCTATACCGACAGCTCTCATTTGCGTTCTTGTTTTCCATGAGATGAGTTTCTGCCAGCGCACAGGTGTCCTCCATTTCTCGTTGCGCTTCTGGTCCGACGATGCAAACATTCTAAACACAATGAATGAAGGATAAAAACGCAATCCAACGGAACAATTAGCGATGTACTATAATCTCTTCGTGTTGAAAAGATGATCTCCATTACGCCTGCCACACATCATGACTACACAGATGTGTCTGAAGCAGATCCTATATCTTGCGTTGATGGTGACATCTTGTCAGGGGCGGCCAGCGACAACTGTGCATTGAGAGCTTCTCGTTTTGGGATCCTCATACCCGTTGCACAAAGTTCATTGCTGGACCATGTTCACGCAACGACGTTCAGGTCTTGCCACCCGTCGTTTGTTTCAGCTTCGACTTTCCATGACTTTGCCCATGCACCCGCATACAACTTTGCCAAATTGCGCTCCCTTCCTCAAGGAGTCCAGTACTTGACGCGGATGCGGTTATTGTCCGACTCTAGAATGCGTTCAATCCAGAACGTGCACCCCTTGACGACATAGTCGTCGGGTGCGCGGAACACGACGAAGTTGTTGATCCCGACAGATTCGTGCGATTTGAACTCCGGTTTCGGAGCATCTCTCTTGTAACCGACGAAGCAAGGTTTCCTCACTGACGAGTAGACAACATGCGGCGCGAGGGATGGGGGGTCTTATTTTTCGGGCATAAGGGCAGGCCAGAAGGCACCTTCAAGGGGCACCGTGCCGCTCTCCTCTTGCGAGATGTTTTCTAACTTTTTGACATGGTCGGTCCAGTAGCTCAAGCGTCTACGCTTCCTCGCTCTCGTGTGTTCGTCTTGTGAGTCCCAATGATTTTGCGAATTCTCCCACGATTTATGAAGGATACGGACCCCCGCCATTCCGCTAACAAAATCGTTTTGTCAGCGGGTTAGGTGACTCGAGGGAAGGTTGGAAACCCCATTGAGGTCCTGCCCACCCTTTGCGTGCGTCCCTTACAATCCAATACACAGGACCATTGTCCGGCTCCCACTTTTTGTCAGTGCAGAACTCCTTGTACATCATGGCAGGGTTGTTCCGTCCATGTAAAATCGGAAGAGGTGCGGCATGGCGTGACCCTTGATTTTGTGATCGATGTATGGATCAATGGCGGCTTTCCAGTCAGCAATTTCAGTGAGCAGTGTGCAATCCACTTCCTCTTCGCAGGACGCTTTGAGGACATCAAAGAGCTCTTCCATGGTATACTCATCGCAACCACTCAACGTTTTTGCAAACAAGCTGAACTTCGCATCTATGTCCGTGTGTGTGTGATCCACTATCATGAAGCCCATTTCGACGACCTCGAATATACGAAATTTGACAAGCATAGCCATGAACGCAAACACATACTTATTTTTGTTTTGTCCCCCACAGTTGTCAGCCTGCACCCACAACTTCGGCGGGAGCGCCCCCTCCCGTGCCAGGATATCTCTCAACACTTTGGCGATCGAGGCGACCACCGCGTTCGAGCCATGCGAAAGGTATGGGAACCACGTGTGGACAATGAGCGACGGCGTCCTACCGTGCGCGATTATCCCAGTGAGATTAGTTCTCATCATCGTGTTATTCGACATTTCTTTTGACAAACGTCTTCTCGATGCGTGGGGTATCGTTGTTTTTGCTTGATCCATTCCATCGATGATGATACACAAATTCTCTTTCGGCCTGAGCTCTGAATCAGCGGACCACACACTATACTGTTTCTGGTGTGCAGACTGTAGCGCAAGATGACTTTTCTGTTTTGCGACAAGCGCCCTTCTCGGCTTGGGCAGAGCACCCTCTATGAGGATGCTATTCTTAATGCACTCGTTGCATCTCGCGTGGTCGGTCACCCTTGCAAGGCGAACGTGCCAGAAGAAGTACCTCCACATCTTGCAGAAGACCTGGTACAACGCGCAACAGACTCCAAGCTTAGAGAGTCGTCTACGAATACTGAGGAAGACCTCTTTCTTTGTGGCGTACACTGACGGGAGCCGAATGCGGTTTCTGATCTCGAAGTTTGGGCATGTCTCAGTCTGATCTAGCATGGGATCAGACTCGTCCAAAATGATGTCCTCGAACGCTGACCATGTAATGACGTAGGTCGCCGTTGTCCGCGGACGACCTTCATGGCCATGAACAGCGTCGACGGTTCCGTCATCGAGGTCATCGATGTATCTTTTGTATGTGTTCCTACCGACGCCGAGTATGAGACACCATGCAGTGATGCACACAGGGTGCAACTGCACTATTGGTTTGACTGTGGGCTTACAGTCAACTAACGAAATTAAATTTTGTAGTTTCGCCATCCACCACTTCCGTCTTTCCTGCCCTCTAAGAACACGGTAGTCACGTCTACATTTCATAACGTCCTGCACTCTAAGTTTAGAAAGACAGGGAAACGTCTTGCAACATGTTTTGCGGAGGACGACCTCGCACTCATCGACGCTACATCTACGTTCGAACGTGGAGGTGGATGCCGAAGAACTTCTTTTTCTGAGTCTGTACATGTATTTTCTTTTTTCTTTTTCGGAGCACAACATAGACAAGGCAGATATCACGGTGTCTTCTCCGACTAGCAAGTCGACGTCCGACGAACGAGTAGCACGAACCCCCCCCCCTTCACTGCCTTCGCGCGACGACAACGAAAGCATGTCCACCGAGACATAACGATCGTCAGTGCGAGTTGCTGGTGGCGAATGAACCCGAAGCGAAGGATCAGGAGACCCACATGCCGGTCCTGCGCCGGCATCAGAAGGCAAGCCGCCGACGTCGTTGATGATGTCGTCAAGACGAAGACGCCGCACGACGTTGACATTGGTAGATGGTACAGCCCGGTCTCTGAATCGGCGTCCGGGCATACCAACAACACAGTGTGCACGATGCCCATGTTGCGATGGTGTGACGACAATGTCTGGAGACTGGCTCTCGCAGCAGTTTTCGGGAGCATCGGGCGCAGGGGTGTGAAAAGACTGCACAGATGGAAGCGAACTGTAGTAACAAATGTCCATTCCGCCCGCCATTGAATCGCTAACATAGATGGGAACGGCCTGTGAGAGGACACAACAGAACAAAAAAATCGAGAACAGAACGACACATGAGAAGGGAAGCCGGTCCCCCCTCACTACCCATCTCAGGAAGTCCGGGCCACTGGTCCGATTCAGAGGGACCTGTGGATCCAGAACGCTGAAACCCGCCAACAAAGGGGAGAGGGGGGGGGGG